TCTGTATCTCCGCCATTGTTACATTGTATATTTGGGGTTTTTCCCGCACTCCTCTGGGAATATCAGTCCGGCCTCCTGGTGAGCACCTGTCATGCGTACCGCCGGGCGCTCCATATTAATACGGCTATCTGGACACAAACCCGCACAGGCAGCATGTAATTAGTAGCAGGACGCAGAGAGGAATAACCTAACAATACAAATATTTAGATTATGGGAACCATGAAAAAAAAAAAAGAACTGAAGGGGATGAGTCTGCCTGGCAGCGGATTGGTGCAGCGAGAGCGTCTCCCAGCTGCTAGCAATATAATCTTGGACGGAGGAGAGAGGAGAATGCCCCATCCTGACTGATCTGCTGATGGATGGAGCCAGCGGTGGGAAAGAGCCCAGAACAGATTTTTCTCTATTTACAACCTTCAGTCAGCAATGAGAAAAAGCCAACTACAAAGTGACCACGTGTGACCTCCAGGAAGGAAGGGGTGACCCGCCTATGGGCACTGCTGCGAGACTGAGCACGCAGCCCCCGGTGCTTTGCAGGCATTACTTAAATATGGCTGAGAGCTGTATGAGGGACCCTGTCAGAGCCTTCCTTTCATTGTATGTCCTGCAGTGGGAGTATAAAGGGTGCCATGTGATTGGTGGTCTCACCGGGAGATTTGCATGACCACAGCTCCCGCTGGGTGACTCGAGATGGAGCCATAATGGACATTTCCTTCGTTTTTCTCTCTTCTTCCTCTCTAATGTCCACACCGCAATAACCGCACCAACACACAACCTTCATCCATAACATTGCTTCCCTCTTTTATGAAGAGCCTATATTTACCATTAACCCCCTGGTGGGGGCAGCGGACCTCAAGCAACCTCAGTTAGTGTTCATGTGTTGATGGCGCCCTCTAGTGCACATGCAGGTGTACTAAACAATCTCTTATTTTTATGATTAAAAGGAGAACTATGGGGTCAGGGCTTTTCCCCATAGTTCTCCTAAGGGTCACAGGAGGACACAAACTAGCATCCTCCCGTGACCCAAAGCTCAGTATATAGGGAGCTACAGCTCGCGGTATACTGAGACGCCGCAGCCGGGACGGATCCCGACAATACTGTCTGGATCCACCCAGCTGCGGGATTGACAGCTGGCTCTGCCTATCTAGAGGCAGAGTCAGCTGTGCCCGCCCCCTCCCCCGTCCGTTCTGCCAGTCAGCGCTGGAGGATCGGACAGGGGAGGGGGGGAATCCCTGCAGGGAGCCGTGAGTGACAGTCATAGGGATAGATCGAGAAGTGAGCGAGCGCCGGTATATGTTCGCTCACTTCCCGATCTACTGAGCCTACCTGTGACAGTTTCATTGTCACAGGTCGGCTCAGATTATGAGGCTGAGTGAAAAACACTCGCCTCATAGTTCCCCTTTAATAAAATATGCTGAAATATGAGATATAGAAAAGTAGAAGCCCAAGTGGCCCATCAAGTCTATGTAATGGTACAATAGAAGTGCGCTGGGCCCTTGGGTAGAGGGTTGGGTGGGGGTGTATCCTGGTATTTGTTCATGGGCTTTATTTGTGGGTTCAGCATTCAGGGGGTCCCTATAGAGACCTTTGAAGATGAGAAACGACAGAAGCACCAACACACCGGTATGGTGCTCATTAGATGTAGCCGTCAGCAAAGGAAAGACAATGTGTTTCGCCTTCATCAAAGTTCTATTCAAGGTTGGGCTGCTGTGCAGATTCCGTGCCACTGCCCTGCCTCCTGTGTCACTGCTCAGCATCCCCACACTGGTGTCTGAACTCTCTCATTGACAAGGCCAGAGTAAGCACTTCCTCAGCAAGCCTGATCTGAACCTTCATCTGGTATGCAGCAATTCAGCAGAATGACAGATGTACACTGACTGCACTGATAAATGATTTCAATATGTGGAAGAAGGAATGCGTTACGTTTCCCTCTAGTTGGTTTCTTGTTGCCCATTTATTATATTTAAGCGTTGAACTCTTTTTTTCTATTATCACCTTCGTATCGGCTCCGTAATGACTTCACTGTGAGGGTGTTGTCACTTGTAAAGATCCTCCGACCCCCTACACTTCGCCCCTGTGTATTATTCAGGATTTGTATAGAGCCAACAGTTTGTGCAGCGCTTTATAATCTAAAGGGACGGTACAGTTACCGTACAATTCAAGACAAGATGATTAGGAGGGCCCTGATCCCGAGAGCTTACAATCTAAGAGGGAGGGGCGAGTGATACAAAAGGTAATAGCTGTGAGGGGGATGAGTTGATGGAGAGACTAAAAGTTCAGTATTTAGGTGGGAGGTGGGGGAGGCTTCCCTGAAGAGATGAGTTTTCAGGGATCGCCTAAATGCACATAGAGTATTAGATAGCCGGACAGATGGGGTAGAGAGTCCCAGAGGATGGGAGAGGCTCTTGAGAAGTTCTGGAGGTGAGCATGGGATGGTGGTGGTGAGGAAGCAAGAGAGCAGAGAGGACAGTATGGGGGATATGTTGAGACGAGGTTGGTGATGTAGCCGGGGGCAGAGTTGTGGGATGGCTTTGTATGTTGTTAGTATTTTTAATTTTGTTTGCTGGGCAAGTGGAAGCCAGTGCAGGGATCGGCAGAGAGGGCCGAGGGATGGAAGCCAGTGGAGGGATCGGCAGAGAGGGGCGGGGAATGGAGGCCAGTGGAGGGATTGGCAGAAAGGGGGGGGGGATGGAAGCCAGCGGAGGGATTGGCAGAGGAGGGGCGGGGATGGAGGCCAGCGGAGGGATTGGCAGAGGAGGGGCGGGGATGGAGGCCAGCGGAGGGATTGGCAGAGGAGGGGCGGGGATGGAGGCCAGCGGAGGGATTGGCAGAGGAGGGGCGGGGATGGAGGCCAGCGGAGGGATTGGCAGAGGAGGGGCGGGGATGGAGGCCAGCGGAGGGATTGGCAGAGGAGGGGCGGGGATGGAGGCCAGCGGAGGGATTGGCAGAGGAGGGGCGGGGATGGAGGCCAGCGGAGGGATTGGCAGAGGAGGGGCGGGGATGGAGGCCAGCGGAGGGATTGGCAGAGGAGGGGCGGGGATGGAGGCCAGCGGAGGGATTGGCAGAGGAGGGGCGGGGATGGAGGCCAGCGGAGGGATTGGCAGAGGAGGGGCGGGGATGGAGGCCAGCGGAGGGATTGGCAGAGGAGGGGCGGGGATGGAGGCCAGCGGAGGGATTGGCAGAGGAGGGGCGGGGATGGAGGCCAGCGGAGGGATTGGCAGAGGAGGGGCGGGGATGGAGGCCAGCGGAGGGATTGGCAGAGGGTGGCGGGGGATGGAGGCCAGTGGAGGGATTGGCAGAAAGGGGTGGGGGATGGAAGCCAGCGGAGGGATTGGCAGAGGAGGTGGGGGACACAGAGCAGTTGGTAAGGTGGATAGGTCGGGGAGCAGCATTCATGATAGCATGATGGGGGATTGCTTGTGTAGACATTGGCCATCGAGGAGGGAGGTTCAGTAAAAAGGGAGAGAATTAGTACCTTGGTGGTGTCTTTGGCAGGAAGGGGCATATTTTGGAAATATTGGTGATGGAGGGCAAGATGAAGGAGATGAAGGCGGCAAGATTAGGACAGTGGTTGGATGTGGGGCCAGAAAAAGATGCCAGAGTCCAGAATTACACCTAGCACCCTGACACAAAGGCAGGGACTGATCATTGTTAGGAAACTTGGGGGAGGGGGCACAGTGGGATGCAAATATGATGGGCTCCTTTTGGAAAAAGACTTGAGTTTGAGAAAGTGGCGTGACATCCATATAGGTATATCACTGTGTAAATTAGTGATATGCAAGGAGACCGAAGGGGCGAGCTGAGGAGCGGAGAGAAATAGATCATCAACATAAAGATGGTATTGGAAGTCATGGGACCTTATCTACTGACCCAGGGAGGAGATATAGATAGAGAAGAGAAGGGGTCCGAGGGCAGCTTAGGGGGTCCCCTACAGGAAGAGGAGGAGATGGAGTTGTAGATGACACTGAAGGAGCACTTAGATAGAAAGAGAACCAGGACAGAACAGACTCTTGGAGGCCAATGGAGTGGAGTTTTTTTGAGGAGGAGCAGGTGGCCTCCTCTCACCAAGGCAGCAGAAAGGTCTAATAGCTGAGTATGGGGTAGTGACTATTGGTTTTAGCAGTTAGGAAGTCATTAGTGAGTTTTTAGAAGGAAAGTTTCTGTGGAGTGTTGGGGGCAAAAGCCAGAGTATAGATAGATAGATAGATAGATAGATAGATAGATAGATAGATAGATAGATAGATAGATACAATAGATAGATGCGTGGTGGTAGGTTGGCACCGCTGTAACGTTTTTTCTGTAGGGTCACAGTGTATAATGTCCAGCCCTGTTCTTGCATTGCCACCAGGCGTAACAATCACCATGGCGACCCAGGCGGCCGCTTTGGGGCCTGGGGCACAGGGGGGCCCGGCCAGGACATTCCAGATTCCCTGCGGGCCGCCTGGGTCGCTATGGCATCTCACGCTGGTGGCTGTCACTGGCGGCTGTGAAGAGAAATGTGCCGCTGTTCAGATCACGGACAGTGATCTGTGCAGCGGCGCGTTCCTCTCCACAGCCGCTGCTGAGTCAGTGAGAGCGGCGGTGGAGCAGGCTGGACACAGCAGTGGAGGAGGAGGCGGGGCCCGGGGTTGGCATCAGAGGAGGAGGTGGGGCCCGGCGACGGGCGGAGGAGGCGTGGCTCATCACCGACGGTGGAGTAAGAGGAGGCGGACAGGTAAGGAGTGTGGCCAGCCCACCTAAGGGTGACCCTGCAGAGCCCACCATAGAGAGTATATGGCGGGCTCTGCAGGGTCACCCTCAGGTGGGCTGTGTGGGATCTCAATTGATCTCAAAGGGGCGTAACTAGAGAACAAAGGGGCCCCATATAAAATGTTGCTATGGGGCCCTGTGATTTCTAGTTACGCCCCTGGTTGACACCATTATTTTCAGGTGACCTCAAAGGACCACATTGTACACAGTGTGACCCCTCCACACACACACCCGGGGGTGCAGCACAATCTTTTTGGGATGGGAGAAGTATTTGGCGGCAGAGCTGCGTGTCCTCAGCGGAGATTATAGTAAATACAGCGCCGCTCACTATTAGTAATTACAAGTGACTGCGGACATCAAAGCCGCACATGCCTCGGCCATGAAGTCATCAGATGAGAACATCAATCACGTCAGGAGACGCTTCCTGTACAGCGCGCTCATTATTCTGACGTGTTCTTGGCCGGGCGTCTCATCGCCGAGTCCAGGAACTGCTTCCACTGATTGTCTCTGACTTTACCTGGACTGGTTTGGATGGACGGTCGGTCGGTGGAGCCAACACGACGGCTCGATTTTTCCCCACCCCCACCCCCGCCCAACCCGTCGGGATCAATCACTTGGCCCATCTGCTCCAAATCCCAGCGGAAATGTTTTCCTATTGAACAGAACACATCAGAAGACTGAAGAATCTCCCATTAGCGAGGGCCTGTGGTACATATAAAATATGGTTTATGTTTGCAGAAACCTTCACGGATCATTTTTACCTCCATACACCCGGTGTGATTTAGTACAATGGAATGATAATGCAACTTTCCAGGTCAATGTTTTATAAATGGAGAAGATTTTTACTTTAAAATATTGTAAAATGCAGCCAAAGAAATAAGTATTTCTCGAATCCTAATAACCCCCCTTGTTGTGCTGGCGCGTGCTTTCTAGTCCCACATCCTCACGATGAAGCGTTGTCACCCTATTGTAGGTGCGCGGCGGAAGGGAGACCCCGCACACTGACCTCAACGACATTCAGAAGACTCGGAGGAGATGTCTCAGTGACTGGTGCTACTCGGAACACTTTGACCCAGCGCTCCTCATACAGGTACATTGAGGCCGGAAAGGAAGTGGCTGATGTCACTTCCTACTGATAATGGCACTTAAAGCTGAAATGTAGTTTGCCTGTATTCTGTCTTTTCTTCCCCCCCCCCCATCAATATGCCAAAGAATTGTTTAAATAAGGACAGGCAGCGATTACAAGCAGATGATTGCCTCAGGACAATTTGTGCCGAGGGGCGATCATCTGCAGGCAGGGCAGCCATCAGAAATGTCTGCGTTCCAAGTCCTGATACCTGCTTGTAGTCCTTTTGCTGTTACCTGTATTAAGCTATTTGCTCCTGTTATATGTTATAGGTGTCTTCGTGGTTATATTTAGTTGGTGTCACCTTACTAATTCATGTTTGCTTTTGGCTGTTTTATTTGGTTGTGCTGTTTACAATAAACTGGATATAACACATTTGCCGTGTCCAGTGTGGTCATACGTGTTTGGTCTTCCCGTGTGGGTACCTGCATGCGGTGTGGGGACACCCGTGCACGGTACCGTGATACCAACCTATAGATTCTCCCTCTTGTGGCTATTTTATATGACAAATGATGCATTGTGGCCCCCGGAGGTTCCCCTGGTTGGGTGTCCCCGGGGAGTCCAAGATTACAAATACAATCGAGTGCTTCATTCCTAATACCATTAAACCTGTAATTTCCCCTCCACAGGTCCTGCAGGAAGCCACAGAGTCCTACAGATGTCTAGACTCCTATTATCACACCCAGGACAACTCCTTACTCCTCATCCTCCACAACCCCATGAGCCCGCACCGCCAGAGCCAGGAATCCTGGGACATGGCGCTGCATTCCAACGTCGGCTTCAGGTTCGCCTCCCGTATCGGTCTCACTGTCAGTGTCTGATTGAACGTTTCCAGTCACATGATGGCACAGAGACGTTTTGAAGTCCTAGCGTCTGTCTTATTTGTATCTCTGCAGCGGCCGGATTTATCATCAGAGGGGTCTGTACATTTACCTGGTTACTGTAAAAGCTGCCGAAATACAAATAAGACGGGCGCTAGGACTTCAAAACGTCTCTGTGCGATCATGTGACTGGAAACGTTCAGACATGCTTTCTGGTCTGGTGCTTCGTATAAAACATGGCTTCCATCGGTGGGTACCCAGAAGTGGCTCAAGAAATATTAAAGGGAGCTCGAAAATCAAAAGAGTCCGAGTAGCTTAAAATTTATCCCAATTCGATCACGTAAAACAGTCAACACGTTTCGGTGGCCATAAGTACTCTCCCTTCATCAGGTCCTAAATACCAAAATAAGAACTTTGGTGGACTCAATGGGACGAGTAACCAAGCAGATCCTTAATAGATCCAACCTTAAACCTTCTAAAGAACTGTTGCTGTGCCAATATAATCATCTTGGTTACTAGTCCCAGGCACTGTATAGTGTTGGACACAGGAGGCAATGGAGAATGCTAGACAGGAGGCACAATGGAGACGGGTAGAAGGGGGCTCAACTTGGGTGTAGTGATGCATGCTAGAGTCACAGGAGCACTCGGGTCACAGGAGTCGCTGAAGACACAGAAGCTCACAGGAACCGCAGGAGACAAAGAAGGGCAAAGGCCCTGAGGAACACAGGACACAGGAAGCACAGGAGGCACAGGGGAAGGCTGGACACAGGAGGCACAGGGGAAAACCGAACACAGGAGGTAGAGGGGAACGCTGGACACAGGAGGCACAGGGGAAAACCAAACACAGGAGGCACAGGGGAAGGCTGGACATAGGAGGCACAGGGGAACACAGAACACAGGAGGTACAGGGGAACGCTGGACACAGGAGGCACAGGGGAAAATCAAACACAGGAGGCACAGGGGAAGGCTGGACACAGGAGGCACAGGGGACGCTGGACAGAGGAGGCACAGTGGAAAATGCTGGACCGGACTAGTCTGATTTTATCCTTGGCAGGAACTACCTGGAATTTGTGTCTGACTCCATCTCACACTGGGTGCAGGAGGAGGAGGTGATGTATCAGGAGAGACTGGAGAAGAAGATGGAGGCTTTGAGACTGGCCCAGAATACACAGGACAGTGGAGCGACCTCCAGGGACGCCTCACCGAGCAAAAAGGGCAAGGGCAAAAAGTCCTCCTCGCCAAAAAAATCTAAAAGTAAGTAAACGTGTCATGTTTGTATGGGGTTTCCTCCGGGACATATACAGACCTTGTGAGATATACTGTATATATATATATATGGCACTCTCATATTATTAGGTAAGACTGTCTGCAATACTCGGGTACACAGTGATGCTCAGTTGCTATTAAATAAAAATATTAAATAAAAATAAAAACATGCGGTACATACAGTACATGACTATTTCAAATACAGAAAAATACCTGTTGATTTTCCAGATGTCCTGATGGGAGCGCCTTACATTCTGTCTGAGCTGACAACACAGTACCTCTGCTAAACTGAAATCTCAAGCAGTGTTGTCAGCCCCGCCTCCTACACTACAGAACCCCACCTATTCCCCACCCCCTCTGTCTCTCTCCGCATGCATACGTTGGTTTTGCTGGGACATTAATCATTCTGCTGCACTCCTGAGGGCCTGCCCAGGCAATGTGTGTAGTGAAAGGGCTGTTGGGAGATGTAGTTCTGTGGGGGGGGCTCCTCCTGCCATCGCAGTGCACAGCAGGGCAGACTGTTCCCACCCACCGCCAGGGCCCTTCAGATCAGTAAAAGAGCACAGTGGTCATGTGATCTGAGAGAAAAGCATTTAATTTGGGAGGAAATTCCCAACCTGGATTTGTGGAAACAACATTTAGATTTATTCCTTTGTTCGCAGGTCCCAAAGGCAGCAAGTCCAGACCTGGAAGTAAGGAGAAAAAGGCACCACCTGCAGAGCCAGCTAAGGACCCCTTCATTCGGGAGGACTCCCTTAAAGTGGGTAGACGCTCCATCATTTTCTCTTCAGCCAGAGCTGTCCTCTCATTGGTTCGCGGCGTCCTATGAATACCATTCGCATGGCGTTATTGTCACCGAGGAGCATGGGGAAATTCCATCGAGAGAATGTATTGCTGTGCGAATGGCATTCGGTGAGCTACACGCTGGGCAAAGCTTTTCAAGAGCTTCTGCTTGCAGAGAGAATTTTCACTCAGCTTAGTGAATGAGGTGAAGTTGTGTTGACTTCAAACGTCCAATCATGTGCAAGCAAAGCAATCCTGATTTTGTTAACTTGCCTTGCACATGATTGGATATTCTTTGCAGAGAGAATCTTTACTTTGTTTTACCTCATTCACTAAGAAATGTGAAAGTTGAGCATGCTGTACTCCATTGGTAGATCGGGGTCAATGCAAATAGCTGAGCCAGAGGGGAGGTTTTATTTTTCTCAGTCCAGCAGTTTCCCATTGCTGATTGGTTGCTGCAGGTTACTGTTCTTGGAATCGCATGTCTAAATAAACTCTTACATACACTATATTGCCAAAAGTATTGGGACACCCCCTCCAAATCATTGGATTCAGGTCCTCCAATCACCTCCATGGCCCCCGGTGTATAAAATCACGCACCTCGGCATGCAGACGCTTCCTACAGACATTTGTTAAAGAATGGAGCTCAGTGACTACAAGCGTGGTGCCGTGATAGGTTGTCACCTGTGCAATAAGTCCATCCGTGACATTTCCCGGCTACTAAATATTCCGCGGTCACCTGTTACTGGGATTATAACAAAGTGGAAGCAAACATGGATGGGGGGGTTTGGGGTGGAGGAACTTGACTGACCGCACAGAGTCCTGACCTCAACCCCATAGAACACCTTTGGGATGAATTAGAGGCGGAGACTGCGAGCCCCTCCCCCAACATCAGTACCTGACCTCACAAATGGTCCAACATTCCCATAGACACACTCCTAAACCTTGTGGATGCCTTCCCAAAAGAGTTGAAGCTGTTATAGCGGCAAAGGGCGGAGCCAACCCGATACTGAACCCTACGGACTAAGACTGGGGGGCCATTAAAGTTGTGCGTCATGTACACATGTGCGTGTAAAGGCGTCCCAATACTTTTGGCAATATAGTGTATATAGAGATCTTGTCTTCAGCCGGGGAGTCCTTAACCAAATTTAGTGCTCTTTACTGGGCTATAGCCAGCCTGACCTTCGTTTGTGTTATCTGGGTTCATTGGGGTTCTTCTAAGACCAAGGACATTACTTCTGCCTTCAGTAGAGAGAGTAGTAAGAAGATACAATGTATAGGGTTATCAATATTTCTTCTGACTCAGCCAATCATTGAGGGGCTTATGCCAGTGGTGTGCGATGGAGACGAGGATACATATTTGGTCCTCTGCCTGGTGGGGATGTGAGTGCAGAGGTCCAGACTTTTCCTCCCAGGCCCTTTGCCTGGAGGAGGAAGCCAGAACCAAGAAAGGTGTTTTTTCTCCTATCTGCCTCTCTGGGCTTAGAGTATCCTGACTTGTGGCAGAGACCTAAAAGGTTCTAAGCTAGCCTGTGGCAGAGGCAGGGAAAACTGGAATGTAGCCTCCCATCTGGGCCTACATAATCTACACAGGCCTGTGGCAGAGGCAGAAGACACTGGTAGGTAGCCTCCCATCTGGGCCTACAGAATCTACACAGGCCTGTGGCAGAGGCAGAACAAAATGGAAGGTAGCCTCCCATCTGGGCCTACAGAATCTACACTGGCCTGTGGCAGACGTCAAAAGAATCTGAGCTGACCTATGGCTGAGGCCTAGGATACTAGAATATAGTTGCCTGCCCGAGCCTAAAGAATTCTATTGTGCAAAGGGACTTTTGCTGCTGTTTTTTGGGGTCTCCTGTACCGCTGACCCTCTCTCCCTAGGACAGCTGAACCACTAAAATTTTACAAAAGAAGATTGAAGGATCTGAAGTTTGTCTTTTGATGTCTGCGGGTTGGGGAGTTATTGGGCGCAGCTACAGAAAGGGTCAACATTAGGAAGGCAGGAGACTCCAACAGACCCTTCGGGGGTAATGCCGCACATATCTTCTGTTCTCCAGGCCTGGAAGATTGAGCAAGATCGCCTAATGGAAGAGGAACGTCTGAAGCAGGAGAAGAAAAACGCAAAAGGCAGAAAATCCAGCGGTAAGAAAAAGTCGGCGAGCAAAGAACGCTCCAGCTCCCGGGAGAGTAAAGGGTCTGCCAGCAGGTCAAGGAAAGGCGCCAAAAAAAAGAGCGAGAAGGAGGAGGTGGTGCTGCCAGGGCCCGGGCCCGACCCCGCCGCTGCTTCCCCGGCTCCTCCTGAGACTGTGTTTAAGGTATGTGGCATGATAGAGATAAAATAACAAATGTACATTTCATACACCAGCCAGGCAGTTACATAAGTAAAATAAAAAACAGCCACACGTAGGAAAGGAAAAGTAAAAATAAGTTACATTAAAAAAAATTCAATAAACAAATAAATAAATAAAATAATTAAATAAATAAAATAAAAATAAAAAAAGATGCTGAAAAAAAATAATAAATAAAAAGGTAAATACAATAAACAAATAAATTAAAAGTTAAATTAAAACTCCTTCTTTCCCTTCTCCCCTTAGCTATTATTTTTCTGCTGATTTTTTTTAATTTCATTTTATCTTTTGCCATTATTATTCTTTTTTGTTTATTATTATTGTTTTGTTTCTTATTTTTTCCGTGTTGCTTAACAAGAAAATGCATGAAATTAGAAGAAAACCAAAACATTTTCATTTGCAAATAAGGTTGCTATTCTGTCTGCTAGAAATATATTTTTTTTGTCATTTAAAGAGGATAAATGATAAAATACAAATGTATCATTTCTATTTTACATTTAAAACGACTTAATTTAAAACTAAAATCAGTGAAAACAGAACTTTGTTATATATTTATTTATGTATTTTTTTAGGGATGCACCGATACCGGTATTTCGGTATCGAGTACGAGTAGCCATATTTTTTTTTTCGGTACTCGCCGATACCGAATACCGGAAGTCCCATTCAGGAAGCCAGGCGGCGTGTAAACAAGGGAGCATGAAGCCGCCTTCCCGGCCAATCGGAAAGCCAGGCGCCACGTCATTACACGGCACCCAGCTTCCTGCTTGGCCAGCTTCCCGGCCAATCAGGAAGCCGAGCAGCGATTCATTACACGCTGCCCGGCTTCCTGCTTGGCTCGGAGGCCGGCTCCATGCTCTCTCGTCACAAGTGACGAGGGAGCCGGCTTCCCGGCCAATCAGGAAACCAGGCAGCGTGTAATGACGCACCGCCCGGCTTCCTGATCCTGGAAGTATCGGGCTAGGCATCGGAGTATTTGGCAGAGTACGAGTACACCAAATACTCGGCACCGATACCAATACTAGTATCGGTGCATCCCTAGTATTTTTTATTGCAAAGAAATCAAAATAATTTTTCAAAAACAATATTTGCCAAAAGAAAGATTAATTTTACCCAACAGAACAACGTAGGTGTTACTTTGTTACTTGAAGTAATGACAAGGTTGTCTCCAGATATACAGGCCCATAGTGGAAATGGAAAGATTGCATCACAAGGGGTGTACGGGGGGTGAGAGCTGAAGGGGTTAAAAATACTCCATGTGTGTATTTCATCTTCAGTTTGTCGGCTACGACGTGGGAGACAACCTGATCCAGGTCTCTGGAGGCTGCCGATGCCTTTACCCGACAGACGGGGGGCAGATCCAGGTGGAACACACTCATTTTGAGAAAGGTGAGATAACAGCGGTGTTCCCCACCAGATACGTCCTTCTGTCACGCTTGTTATAGATCCATCATACACATCGATGACACATCACACCTCACAGTCACACAGTGATGTCATCAGTATGCCGCACACAGGAGGAAGCATTTCCTCAATCTCCTCTCCCCCAGTGACTGCAGCATTGTAACTTTGCTGCAAGTCACAAGGTGAGAAGCTGCGGCAGGGACGGAGAGGAGAGATGAAGGGAGCAGAAGCAGGGAGATGCTTGCAGTGCAGGGACTCGGGTACAGCTTCCCCTCCAGCAAGTGGAACAGTGATCATCACCGAATCTGCTTGAGACTAAGTCAGAATCAGTATGCCTTAGATGACCCCCACACTGTAGATATACAGTTATGAGGATACAGAACAGGAAGTGCACTGATATCAGGAGTGCCTAGGTACAGGAAGTTCACTGATATCAGGACTGCCGAGGCGCAGGAAGTGCACTGATATCAGGATTGAAATGAAAAGCAAAAAGAGCGCCTCCATCGTGTAAAAACGCTTTAATAAAATGATATAAAGAGAGTTGAAAACATACTCACAAAGAAATTGGAGTAAACAGGCATAAAGTATGTATCAGCGAACACAGACACAGAAATCATAGAGTTCCAGCACAGCCGACAAGCTGCAAACGCTTCTTGGTTGACGCGTTTCAGAGGACACACCTTCTTCCTCAGAACCACTCAAAGGAGGTGTGTCCCCTGAAACGCGTCGACTAAGAAGTGTTTGCAGCACAGGAAGTGCACTGATGTCAGGACTGCCTAGGCACAGGAAGTGCACTGATATCAGGAGTGTCTAGGTACAGGAAGTGCACTGATATCAGGAGTGTCTAGGTACAGGAAGTGCACTGATATCAGGAGTGTCTAGGCACAGGAAGTGCACTGATATCAGGAGTGTCTAGGTACAGGAAGTGCACTGATATCAGGAGTGTCTAGGCACAGGAAGTGCACTGATATCAGGAGTGTCTAGGCACAGGAAGTGCACTGATATCAGGAGTGTCTAGGCACAGGAAGTGCACTGATATCAGGAGTGTCTAGGCACAGGAAGTGCACTGATATCAGGAGTGTCTAGGCACAGGAAGTGCAAAACGCACTGACTAAAGGGGTGTCTAGGCACAGGAAGTGCACTGATATCAGGAGTGTCTAGGCACAGGAAGTGCACTGATATCAGGAGTGTCTAGGTACAGGAAGTGCACTGATGTCAGGACTGCCTAGGCACAGGAAGTGCACTGATATCAGGAGTGTCTAGGTACAGGAAGTGCACTGATATTAGGAGTGTCTAGGTACAGGAAGTGAACTCATATTTTTCAGGAGGAATTCCGGACAAAAGGCAGATCTGTCATGGTGCGGTTTGGCCACAAGTGAGATTTCTGTGTACTGCATTCCCTATATCGTAGCAAATCTTTACTTTTTGGGTTCAGGTCCCACTTCAACCCCCATAACTTTCCTGGCATCTAACAGTTCCCCCCCCCCCCCACCACTCACCCACCCC